TTATTTCATACCCAAATTCGATACAAGAGGTTCTACTTGTTCACAGCTCAAAAAAGATTACACTACAAAGTGACACCATTGTTGATGCTACAAATTGATAAATAAAATAAATGTTTCTATACTCTCTTTTTGTTTTTTATTTTCCATTGTGCTCAACGAGTTTTAAAGGAAAAGGATGAACAAACGCAACGTTGAGCCCCCATTAAATCACATTTTCTTTTTTCACTTGTAGCACCAAAAACAAACACATTCAAAAAAAAAAATAATCAAAGAGATATCTGTTCTGTTTTCATTAGTTTCGTAGACCTGAGGGTTTGTAAGTTTTGGAGTGGACAAGCTCCATTGATTTGTTCTTGGGAGCCTCAAGTAGTAGCTTAGCTTTCTTCCTTGCTATAGGGAACTCCATGGAATGTGATTTAGGACCATTGTCCCCACAATCTTCTTTGAACATTTTGATGCTCAGAGCATTCAACAACGCCCTCGAGTACTGCCTCGACGCCATTTTCCAATCAGTCCCTGACTTCATCATCGCCTTAAACTCATCAAAGCTTATCCGTCCATCCTGTTACCAAGAACACGAGTTAGGTATCGGTTTTGTAATGGAAACCCATGAATCTTGCCAAAAAATTACACACCAAACCGTCTCTGTCATGTACCTTGTTGAGGTCGACGTCAAAGAAGATATCTTTGATCCACTGGTCATTACCGTGGCCTAGCTTATCGTCGAAAAGAGCTTCTTTGAGCTCGTCTAGCTCGATAAACCCGTTCCTGTTCTTGTCAAAATACTTGAACGCTTGCTGCAAATGCTCATCACATCCCATTCTCTTCAAGTGTATAGCCAGTGTCACAAACTCCTCACAGCTCAACGTTCCATTTCCATCTGTGTCCGCTGCATCCATCAGCATCTTCACGTCGCGGTCGGGAACAACTTGCCCAATCTTCTTCAGCCCGTCTCTTAGTTCCTCGAATGTCAAGTGACCGTTCTTATCTGTGTCCATCGTTTGAAACATCTGTACTATCGCTTCTATCTCCTCGTTTGGTAGATTGTCCGCTACGATCTGAAAGTTTTTTTTTTTGCGGTTTTATTTACTCCGATTTCCGAATTAGTAAAATTCATAATTCTTTGTGAAATCAAGAAAAACTTTATATTTACCCTGAGGACTTTCTTCTTGAACCTGTTCATCAACAAGAACTGTTGAATCTTGGTCCTTACGTTATCTCCAAGATTCACATTTGGTGCTCTCTCTGCGTTCTGGATCCATGGATGTTCTGTAAAACATAGTGTTTTTTCGATTCATATTGATGTTAAACGTATTATTTCGATAATGAAATGTCACTATTATTATTATGAAAATACCAAGAACTTCTTGAACTGTGAGTCGGCTATAAGGATTCGCATCAAGCATGTTCTTAACGAGTTCTTTGGCTTCATACGAGACTTTTGGCCACGGATCTCTCTCGAAATCGATGTTCCCTCTCACAATTGCGTGCGCGATTCCTTCCTCGGTTTCTGCCCAAAACGGAGGAACACCACAAAGCAAGATATAGAGTATAACACCGGCGCTCCAAACATCGATCTCAGGACCGTAGTTTCGTCTCAAAACCTCTGGAGCCATGTAATAAGGACTTCCCACAATCTCGTTGAACCGTTGCGCTGCAATATCCATTCGATTCAACACAGATCTTTTTCAAGAATATAACTTTTTGACGTAACTAAAGAGATGTGATTAGTGATACCTGGTTTGAAGAAAATGGAGAGACCAAAATCAATAGCTTTGAGTTGTGCAGTCTCAGTTCCATTCGAAAAGAGGAAATTCTCCGGTTTAAGATCTCTATGAATCACTCCATGTTCATGGCACACCTTCACAAAAACCATAAACAATTTAGACAAAAAAAAAACGACACAAAAGAGATTGCGATTTTCTTTTTCTTCACCTTGACAACTTCAAGAATGGTTTTAGCGACGGAAGCAGCGGCACGTTCAGTGTAATGACCTCTAGAGACAATACGGTCAAAAAGCTCTCCTCCTTCACAAATCTCCATGACAAGATAAACCGCGTCTTTGTCCTCGAAAGCTTCTTTAAAGCTAACAATATTCGGATGTTTCGGTAATGATCTCATGATCTCAACCTCTCTTCTCACGTCCTCCACATCTATTTCCGTCCTTAGCTTCTCCTTCGATATCCTCTTACACGCAAACCTGTCCGATATTTTCTTCATGTAATCAAAACAAAACGATTTTGCGCCAAAAAGAAAGACTCAAAACTTTTGAAGAAGGCATCGTTACCTTTGGCGGGTACTGATCTCGATGCATTCATGGGTGACACCGAATTCACCGCGGCCTAGTTCTTTGCCGAGTTCATACTTGAGGAAGATTCCATCTCCAATGGGGTCGGGAAGAACACGGCTTGGTGGCTGGAAAATCAATCTCCGGGAAAGATTAGTTGAAGAATCAGGAACAGAGGATGTTTTGCTATTACTACTGTGTCGCCTTCTTACCGGTCTCTTCCCAAAAGGAGAACCTTTCAACGGCGACGAAACACAGCTTCCCATGGGATTTGTTTTATTTTGATGGTTTTGGAATAATATCCAACGGTTTGTAAAACCCACGATTGATTGATTAGTACACAATCAATCAATCAAGCGATTTTCAAGAAGGAAAGTTATTCAAATGCACCCCATGGGAAGGAAGAGAGAAGCTTTTGTGCTCAAGTTCCTTTTTTTTCTTTGGTTCTTATTCTTTTGTTATTGTTTTTGGGTGGGTGGGGGCTTCTCTTCTTCTGATATTATTGGGTGTCGTTTTCTATGTTTATTTGTTTAAAGAAAGAGCAAGTCCTAAAAGACAGGAGATTGGGAGGGAAACAAAAGATTGGATGGATGGAGAAATCTTTCTATTTTTGGTTATGACAGTCTGGTCGGTGGTGGAGTTTTACAAATTTTCGTTAACTTAGTTGTTGCCCTTGTTTTTTTTTCTGTCTTTTCCTCCTCCCGCCATTTTCCCTCTGTTTAAAGATCATTTTTGTCGCTGAATTATGTACATATATATATATATATATATATATACACTCACTATATATCAAATATGAGAATTTGTTAAAAATAAGTTTTATGTTTAGTTGCTTTATGTTTGTTTGCTGAAACCTTGCTTTGTTATGGAAAGCCACATTTGTAGGGCTTTAAGGGGTCGATCTGTTAAGACATCTGAGCTTGTGTAGCATTGCGAATTGTGTCTTATTCAGACACTTGTTTGGATCCGTCACCAAAGTAAATCAGGGAGGTCTATTGTTGCTTCAAGTTCTCTTGACAACCGCACAAAGGTTTTGTTTTCATGTGATCTCACAAGTTCACCTAAAAATGAGACTTTACTTAGTTTGAATCATATCAACAGTTTCAAAGTAACCATTTTTCTTTTGTTTTGGAATTTATAAACATTTGCTTTTTCATTGTTTTGGTTTTGGAATTTATAAACCTGTTCCTTTTTTTTTTTTGTCTGCATCTCAATGCTCTCGATCACTTACGAAATGCGTCAAAATGGGTAAACTTAAAAGTTTTTTTTATTTGCCAATTAAAGAAAACGTTTCCGAACAGAAATTATAATCCTTCAGATGTATGTCTTTTATTCTGAATAAAATGCAAAAAAAAAAAAAAAGCATCAGCTTCATGATAATTCCACATTGCAGAGAGTGATTCTTGCAAACCAACTCAGAGGAACTTTCTATGTGGTCTGCCTGCATCTTCGTCTTGCATATGCTGTCAAAATTTTGAAATTTTGAATAGGTTAGTTTTAACTGTAATGCTATGAAGCACAAGACAACATCATATATATCACTAAAACTTATGTGGGCATGTTTCTTTTCCATTTCAATCGTCATAGGAATTTCCCTCAAACAAGGATTGCCATAAGTGTTGTCCCTTGCACGAATCTGTATTCAAGGGCTACTAAACTGGAGTAAAAACACTTCGAGGATAGGTAGCAAGATAAACTTATAAGATTCAGAACGTAGAAAGTCTCCTCTTTTAAATTTTCACTGATGAACACAGTACAACAGACGCAAGATTGACTAGTATCAGCCAAACGCATCAAGGGGTTAAGGATGAGCAGGTAAACACAATAGAGGTAGCAGTTAAACACTCTTGATTCATCAAACTACTTTGGCTATAGATAAATCAAACAAAAGAATATCCAAGTGGAGAAATGGATAAGGAATAGCAAGCATGAAACAAAATACTCAACTTCTACTTCAAGAAGAAATACTATAATCAAATCACAGGTCATCGAAGCATCACCAACGAATGCTACTACCAAAGCTCATTTACCAGAAGAACTAATCTGATTGAAACCAATTAATTTTATCATACGATGCTCACAATAACATGGGAAACAATTAGGGCACAAAACAGACATGAACATTTCTGACTCGAGAGAAATGGAAATGCAAATGTAAATCGAATCGAGAGTGAGAGTGACTGAGAGAAGGGGGAGAGAGAGAGAGAGAGAGAGAGGGATTCAACTCACGAAATCTTTGACGATTCCCTTGTAGACGAGGATCGGGAGAGCGATGCCGAAAATTCCGATGAGAGCGAAGTTGCGACGGGTCCAGCGGAAATTGTGCTCGAGATTCTCCCTCGCCGATCCCCAATCCTCGATGAACTTGTTCTTGTTCGTTTCCATTCCTCCACCCATCTTCTTCGCTTTCTCGATTCGCCTTTCTCCGAATCGCCTCTTCAATGGTTTTAGCTTTCTGTGAATTTGAGCCACGCGACGACTGTGGTTGGGCAAAGCTCAGATCGATACCGGTTAAGTCGAAAATTATTTTGATTTTAAACCAAATATTTTTTGAGCGACAACAGTTATCAGATGTGAAAGTGGCTTCAGCTCAAGGCCCATATAAAAAGGGCCCAACGAGTTTTGGTTGATGAAGATCAATTTATCATGATTTTGCTAGTTTGCAATAGATTATTATATTAAATTTCATTATTATATTGCCTTAACTGTAAGTATGAACAGGTAATTGTATTTGGGAGGATCTCAACAACGTAATTATATCTGGATCGCGCCAAAGTGTAGATTAATTTGCCTCTCTTCAATTCAATTCCAGTTCTCTCACTCACCAAAATTGTCTCACCTCTCTCTCTCTCTCTCTCTCTCTCACTTAACAAATGCATAGATTTCGCCGCCATTCAATCGCAGAAGGTGACAAGCTCCTCCTTCTCAATCTCTACTGATATTTTGTTTTCTTTGTCGAAATTTTCTGTTTACATTGTTGCCTCGCTCGGAATCGAGTAATCCTCGAAAGAGAGCTGCTTAATTTACAGTATTTGAATTTGATTTCGAGCTTTTATTTAGGGGGGAAATCTGTTTGTTGAACGGTCGTCATACATTGCTTTTATTTAGGGTTTATATATATAAACTCTCGGAAGCTTATTTGTTGACTCTTTCTAATTCTCGGAAGAAAATGAAAACTTAGTGCTTAGTGTGTCAGAGAATCCTTTAATTGGTTTTTTTAATAGATGTTTAATTCTCATTACATCTACAAATCAACATTGTTAAAGAGTTTAAAATTCTTATATCATCTTCAGTTAATTGACTTTTTCTGGTTATGCCAAGAACTTGTCCTGCATTTGCCGTTTCTGGTATATCTCTCTAACCACACGCTAATGTGTTTTCATTTTGTGATTTGCTCTGCTTCTAAAGCCTCCAAAAAAACAACAAAAAAAATAAGAACATTTGTGTTTGGTTCTGAAGATTGAAGGAGCAAGAAACTGAAAACTGCAATATGGCTTTTGCAGGTGGGAAAGATGGGCCTAAAGGTTTTGTGAAGAGGGTAACATCAACTTTCTCCATTAGGAAAAAGAAGAACACAACGAGTGATCCGAAACCACTTCTCCCTCGATCAAAATCAACAGGTGCTAACTATGAATCCATGAGGCTGCCTCAGGGGAAGAAGGCTCTTCCTGATGTCACAGCAAAGACAAAGAGGACCAAATCTGCAGGCGTTTCGCCACAACCACGGCGTGAAAAGATCGATGAACCAGGGAAACAGTTTATGAGGATGAGATGTTTTGATGACAGCGACTCCATTTGGTTGTCTTCAGATTGTGCGTCTACTACTTCCCTTCTAGAGGAACGCAGAGTGTCTGTCTCGTTTCATTTCTCTGTCGACGAAAGGATCGTCTCTTGGTTATCAAGTGTTGCTAACTCTTCCTTGTCTCTGAATCAAGAAGCCACCAAAGAGGTTAAGAGTCACCAGAGGACAAGTTCAAAGAACGCAAAACATTCTTCAGAAAACGTTCAAAAGGATGGAAAAGTTTGTAACTCAGGTTCTGTAAAGCCGTCTTCGCGTTTACCTGAAGGCAACAACAAGACTTGTCCGCGAAAATCATGTGAAGAGTCTTCTAGTTCCAGTAGGTATGTGAGTCCTGATTTGACTTCACAGAGTCCTGAAGATAAGAAAGTTAGCTTCTCGCTTGAACCAGATGCGTCTCCTTCACCGGTTAGCTCAACTTTTGTGTCATCTGGTCCTACCAAAACCAAACCGGCATCGACTGAGGAATCAAAGAGCAAGATCGCTGTGGAGCCGCTTTTCTGGCCATTTGAGCAGAAGTTTGACTGGACACCAGAGGATATACTGAAGCATTTCTCCATGTCTCCTCGGAGGAAGAAATCGATAGGGGGCAAAACTGCAGGCACTTCTCCAAGATCATTGAGGGCACAACTCCAAACAAGAAAGCTAGATCTTAAAGAAGGGTGTAAGAGAAAGCTCATGTTCAACGGTCCTGGATCAAACTCAAAACCAACACGGATTCCAGAACTGAAACGAACAATCAGCAATAGCAGCAGCAACAGTAGCCCCAAGAAAACCGAGAACCAACAACAACAACAACACATCAGGAACAGTGTGAAGAGGAACAAAAGTTTGCCATCGAGGTTGAGAAAATCGAGCAAAATATCCTCAAAGGTGGTACCTATAGGAGCTACAGAAGAGACAGGAGAGATGGGAAGAGAGCAGAAAACACCTAAGAAGCTCATCATGACCCGCAAGTCCAGGACTTTCCTAGAAGATGACTTTGCTTTGATGAATGATTTCTCTATAGAGAATGCGGTTGGGCTTTGCGAGTTCAAGGGGAGAGAAGGCATAGATTCAGACTTCAACACTGATGGTTTCTTGTTCGATGATTCTCTATGAATAGAAAAGTCTTGTACAGGTTCCATAATCCGTAAGGATAAATAGTGTACATCTGCATTGGCCACAATTTTGTTCCTGGATTGGATAGTAAATACATGTAACAGTTATACACATATATGTATAAGTTTTGTTTCATTCATATGAACATTTAGTTCTTACAATCAGCAGACAAAAGAAGAGAAAGTAAGTACATTGGACAAATATAGCAAACTTGTCCTCAGAGTAATTGATAATGAGTTCCCATTAGAAAAAGTCTCAGAGCTGAAGGATGATTAAAGATCTATAACCTGAAAATGTCAAAGGATAGTTTTCCAAACACGGTCTTTGGACATTAAATTTGGATTTGAAAAGGAAAAAAGGGCAAAACTTTTAGATATTTTTACCTGTCTGATTGTGAAGAAATTCCCCAAAGACTTCCCACATATTCTCAGAGTCAGCTATCACAAGCAGCACAATGCTGAGCAATCTCATTGTCATGGTGAGGGAACACAAATAGTATGTCATAGAAAGAGCCATTATATTTAGAACAACCATTCTCTACCTGTCACACCATGTATGTTAGCTTATTTAAAATCAGGACATAATAAAAACAAGGGAAAATCGTCTAAGAGTCGATTTTATTTTAAAATTAGACGATTTCACTTCCGGACAAAAATAATAATAACACTTTGTTGATTAGTAATTCTCATGATTCTCGTTAACGGAGCCGCTTCTTCGACCCTTGCTAACGCCGCTCGGGTTTCTGGAATTCGAACCATGAATCGCAAAATTTACGGAACTGTATCTTCTTCTAAACCCTTCTCCCTGAAAATCGAACACCCTCCCTCCGATCCAAACACAGGTCTTCGTTCTATCGCTCTTTCTGTTCAAAAACTCCCTGCAAATTTTGTACTGCTCTTGTTATTTTTGACAAAGAAGTATTGCTCTTGTTACGAACTGTTTTTGGTATCAGAACCAGGCAATGGGGCTTCTTCTGTGTCGGGGACTCGAGTATACACCCGGAAGAAAAGGCTAAAACAGGAATCTTTGGAGCCTCTGGAGAAAGATTCCGTAAGTTTCATTGCTTCTTTCTCTGTTTTTAAAACGAAAATTGAGGGTTCTGGATCAAGTTTGGTAATTTCGTGGTAGTGAGTTTTACTTTGTTCAGAGTGATGCAAATGCATTTGAGTTTGAAGTTAATCTGACCCAACCCGTAGAGAAACCTTGATTAGTGTGTTTTGGTCTGTTCCATGAGCATACATTACCTTGTGTTATTATTTTTGTGTCTTAACGTCTTTTAGTTTCTTCTCGTATTTGATTGATGCAGCAGCTATGTGTATTGCCCGATATAGAAGAATTTGCTTTCAAAAAGAACACTAGATCTTCTTCTTCTTCATCCAGTAAGTCTCATTTGTAAAACTCAGAATTTTCATATTCCTAATCACTTACCAAACTTAACTGCAATCACTGGATTAGAAAGCAATGGCTAAAGAACCTGACTAGTTTCCATACTAATACCCAAAGTTATATATATATATATATATATACTCATAACTGAAAGTCTTTTGGTGGGAGATGTGTTATCATCACCAAGCACATTCTCTAGCTTTTTTTTATCCTTAAACGGCCAAGAGAGATTCCTTATCCAAGTTTTTTTTACAGGGAGGTCAACCGAAACTAGCATCAATGTGACTTCAGCCAAAACAGCAGGTATGTTATCACGCAGCAAGTCACGTTTCTACTTTACAGATTTCTTCACTCACGGTAACTTCAAGTCACGTTTCTACGTTACAGATTTCTTCACTCACGGTAACTTCTTGTGTGTTTTTTAACCTAGGAAACGCGCCTGAAAACTGGGTAAAAGTGCTCGAGGGCATTCGTCAAATGAGATCATCTGGAGACGCACCGGTTGATTCTATGGGATGTGATAAAGCTGGAAGCTTTCTACCTCCTACGGTATGAATTTCTTTCCTTGGAACACATTTTTCTTCAAGTCTCTGGTAAAAATTTGATGTACTTATTGCTAGTGCAGAAAATTCTCTTCTTCTTATTACTCAAGCAAGCACCTTTGCTTCCTTTTTTTTTTGTCTTTTTTTCCTATTTGACAAGATCAATTTGTCTTTTGCTAAATTATCTAGGAAAGAAGATTTGCTGTCTTGCTAGGATCACTTCTCTCAAGCCAGACAAAAGATCAAGTTAATAACGGTGAGTTTTTTGTTGTGTTGTAGAAGCAATTGTGTCATCGTTCTGTTACACTCTCAGATCATCTGCACTTCCAAGTTTCCTGATTATAAACGTATACTTACTATTCAGACACATTCAACATGCAGCTGCAATACATCGTCTTCATCAGAACGGCCTTCTCACGCCCGAAGCCATTGACAAAGCTAATGAATCAACCATAAGAGAACTGATCTATCCGGTATGTAATCCAAGTGTTACTTCTTCTTGATGTCCTTGCCTCTCTGACACAGAACCCCTTAATGCTCTAATTTTCATGCCAATTTCTCAAAACGTAATGATATAGAAGGAAAGGCTCTTTGTCACGGTAAAATCTTGGTGTTATGGGATTAACTGTTTGCTTTTTACTTTTAGGTTGGATTTTATACAAGGAAAGCTACATATATGAAGAAAATAGCTAAAATCTGTCTAGAGAAATATAACGGAGACATTCCAAGCTCTTTGGACGATCTACTTGCGCTTCCGGGGATTGGTCCTAAGATGGCCCATCTGGTAAAAGTGATTAATACGTATATTATTACTGATCTTGTGAGATAGAGAAATATTTTCAAAAGAACTTTTTCTCAAAGTTTTCTTCTGTTGTCACATGGCACAGATTCTGCATATAGCATGGAATGATGTTCAAGGTATCTGTGTAGATACACACGTGCATCGCATTTGTAATCGACTTGGTTGGGTGTCTCGACCAGGAATCAAACAGGTACTCCTGAGTCCTGAGCTGGCTTCAGTCAGAAATTGTATTATGAAAAAATGTAGCAAAATCGTTTCTACTCGAAGGTTTAATTGCTATTTCTTAATCTGTGTGGTTCGCTAGAAAACTTCGACTCCAGAGGAAACAAGAGTAGCATTGCAACAATGGCTTCCAAAGGAAGAATGGGTTGCCATTAACCCGCTTTTGGTGCGTCATCCTTCACTAACTCTTCTACCTTAAGATACACAAATCCATGAAATACTGAATGACATAACTTAGCCGGTCTCTTGTTTTCTTGGGTTCTTGTCTTGTCTGAAATTTTACACAGGTGGGATTTGGACAAACGATTTGCACACCGTTGAGACCTCGTTGCGAAACTTGCAGTGTAGCGAAGCTTTGTCCTGCTGCGTTCAAAGAGACATCAACAAGTCCATCACCCAAGTTGAAGAAATCTAAGCAAAGCAAACAACTGTGATCCAAAATCCGGGCCTTTTGTATCTTGACAAAAAAATGTTATATAACTTTTCTATATGCAATCAAAACGTATCTACTTGACAAGTATCCTCGTGCTGATTTAGAATGTTCTTCTAATCGTAATCTTTTGTTTTTTGTTTCTCTTTGTCCTTACCAGACACTAGTGAATTTCGTTTCTCTTCTTCTTTACCTGGTGGCATCTTTGACGCTTGTGCATTGTGGAAGAATGCTAAAAGTTGACTAAACTCATATGGAGTTACTAAAACCGATCCAGATTAACTTGGATTGTGACAATCCAACTGGATTGACCAGCAAAAGATGAAACCACCACAACTTCAGCTTGGAAGAAAGATTTTGAAGGAAGAGCAGTGATGTTTAAAAAGTGATCCACGTAGAAAGTAGATTCCAAATTCTCAGCACCGTTCAAGTAATCACCATCAATAATTTCGTGATCATCCTCCTACCAAACCAGTGAGAAGAAGAGTTTTCAACTTGATCGGAAAGACCATAGTGAATACTTGCCCACCTGGAAATTGTTTGCCCTAACTACATGGCTCCACCCATTGTACAACACCATGTTCTATTTCCATTGCTTCAGTTGAAGCTTATGCTTGTTGGACTTGGGATCAACAAAGACAATGTCTACTCCTTTTTTATGAGCCGCCTTAACACATTTTTGTAACGTTTTTTTTTCTTCATCGCTTAGAAAATTGTCACTCACCACTTTCTTGAAATGTAACATGAACCTCACTTGATTATTACTCGGAAGATATGGATTTTAGTTCTTCCTAAAACCATATCTTTTTGTACTTCTTTTGAACTATTATGTGTAAAACAAAAATCTTGTCTCATTTTACATTCTCTATTATAATAAAGGTATTATATTGTGTGTGTTTTATCTTGTTAGATTTTGTTAAAAACTAAGAAAGTCTATCTTGTTATTGATTTGGTTTTGTATTCACATTTTTTTTATTCTGGATTGAGATTCGAAGATATTTATATACCATGAATTCTGACTTGGTTGTAATCGATTCTGGTGGGAAGCAAATTGACTGATTTGGATTAAACCGAGGAAAATTTGTTTGAATGTGGATCCAACTTGGACTTAGCAACTGCATTTGAATTCTAACAAATGAACTGGTGAATTAGCTTTGAGTTGTCGTTTTGGCTACTTAATACTGAAGACTGAAGTTGTCACACTGAATTAGCTTTGGACTTCTTACCGGTCATAAACAAAGCTTTTGTAAACTTGTTGCTGCTGAAAATTTATAATAATAATTTCTATTAATGACTAAAATGATGAATTGCAAACATAATTCTGGCAGCAAAGGAAACCTAGCTGTGATTACTATAGAAGTAAAAAGACATTTGCCTCATGTAGGTAGATGAATTATAAAAAAAAAGATTAAGGTTTTATAGTTACAGAAATATGGTTTATCAAAGTGGTATTAGACTGGATGTTTGTGTAATTGAACCTGATTTCGTCTTTATTGACCTCATTTTTTTTTTGGAAGATAGAATTTAGAATAAAAAAAAGAAGTGTTAAAATATAACAAAAAAGGATATCTGAAATAAAAAGGAATTGATTAAAAATTTAAACTTTTTATCAGTCTGTTCTGGTATAAGTTATTTCTGAGTTTGAATAATGCTTACTTGCAAGACTCTTTGTTTCTTGTCTTCAACCAAAATAAAAAAGATCAATAGAAATTATGATTGATTTTTCATTTTTCTTTGTTTTTTACATATTTTGAATTTAGTTTTTTATAATTATTATTTCACTGCCATTTGGATTATTTCAATGCAATTTTTTTTGAAAAAAAAATAGCTAGTTTTCCATTTTGAATTTAAATTTTAAATATATTTTTTTATATATTTACCTCATCGTCTTAGAACAATCCCAATGGAGAGCTTTGAGTGTCTAAAACAAAATATCTTAATAATAAAAATAAATAAATAATAGTAAAAGGGTCTTAAAAAAGTAGACATAGTATCTAAAATAGGATAATTTTGTTGAGTTAAGACACCCGATGTCTAAAATAAAATAATAAAATATTTTTAAGACCTTCTTACTAAGTTTTCTATTGGGGTTGGTCTTATCAACCTAGACACGGCAAGGAAACAAAACAACCTTAGAGCATGTACAACGCAGGATCTAAACATTATATATTAACAATAAAATAATAAAAAGAAATAAAAAAGTTAAGAAAATGATAAGAAATAGATCTTAAATACGAGCCACAAGAGCTGACTCTTAGCATTTCCTTCCATCTGTCAAGTAATAACTGGTTTTAAGTTTAATTTTAATATTAAAAATTAATTAATTATTTTATTTATATTTAAATAATAATATTTAATGCTTTAGATATTTTTTTGAGTTTCTATGCGTTGAAAATGGTTTTAATTTTTACCTTAAAAAATTGCATGAATTTAAAATTATTACAATCTAGGATCTTCTGTCACCTACATGTTTACCTAAATCCATGAGAACTATATAACTAATAATTAAAAAAAAAAACTAATATGTTAAAGCAAATCTTGATGGTTTCACTCATGGTCGTGTTTCTTCTTGTTGCTGGGTGGGCAATGCAGTCAATTTTTGGTTTCCGAACATACATACATATTACAATTGTAGTTAAAAATGCAACTCCAAGATTATATGAAATCTAGTATCAATGAATCCTATTTCATTAACCAATTTATACTATCTTCAATACTTTCCTACAAAACACCGTACTTCACAAACATTGCTAGGACAAAAACACTCTATCTTTGTGAGGACAAAGGGAAAAAAAGAAAAAAAAAATTGCTAGAAACCAAGAATATTATGAAGAAAGAGAGTGAATGAGCAAAATATAAAAGCTTTTAACTTATAAGTTAGTGTTTGTTTAAAGTTATCCGACGTCTCCAATTTATCTCGAATTAGTGAACCAGAAAAAAAAAAACCAAAATTGTTTATACAGCAAGCCTCGTTGATGTTTGATTTTGACGGGAGGGTTTGATCATCTGAAAGTGTGAGTGACTACGCCGGTGCGGCATGACGGTCGCGGCGGGGATCGGTTACGCGCTGGTGGCTCTGGGACCGTCTCTTTCACTTTTCGTCTCCGTCATCTCCAGAAAGCCCTTTCTCATCCTCACTCTTCTCTCCAGGTTCTTTCTTTTCCCAATTTCTCTGAAACTTTCGTGATTAGGTTTTGCTGTCGATTCGATTCGATTTGAGCCTTTTTTTTGCTTCGAAATGTTTCTTCGGGTCTGCATTTGAGCATTTCGCGAAGACCTTCCGGGGAAAAAATTAGGGTTTGGAATCAAACATGATATGCTCTGATTCCTTCCTTTGTGAATGTTGTGCAGTACGTTGGTGTGGCTTGTGAGTCTGATCATCTTGTCGGGATTGTGGAGGCCTTTTCTTCCTCTCAAAGCCAATGTGTGGTGGCCCTATGCTTTACTTGTTCTCTCCTCCGTTTGTTTCCAGGAAGGTTTTCGCTTTCTTTTCTGGAAGGTCTACAAGTAAGTACTTACATAGTTGCCTTTCTTCGTCTTCTCGTTCTGAGTGTCGAGTATGAATATATGATCCTCGATGAACTTTTCTTTTGAGCTAGAGCTACAAATTGTTTTGATCTTGATACTGGACTAAGTATGTTACTATGTACATGGCACATCACATCATAGTTTAATCTACTGAGTTCTTGTTACGGGGAAAGTAACATTTATGATTGTCAGATTGGCTGTATATCTTGTTCTTGAAACATGTTATTGTGTTGTGTTATACTGAAGGAGGCTTGAGGATGTCTTGGATTCCTTTGCGGATCGGATCTCAAGGCCCCGCCTGTTTCTCTCTGATAAGCTGCAGATTGCTCTAGGTACGCTTCCCTGTTTATTTGTCCAATTTCCAAAGTTGAGTTCATCGTGTAGGACAGCACAACTGTGGACTATTGCTGTCTGAAGAAAGAAAACATGAAATAAGTAAAAGTATCTTGATCTTGAACAGGATTTAGATTTGTTTTGCGTTGGTCTTTGTCAGAAGCTCGAGCGTATGATATTTGAGAAATTGGTTGTGTGAGAAGGAGAATGATAAAGAGTAGGCTAAATAACAATGTTGCTGAAAGCTAAAATGGATCTTAGAACCCGTGAGGCACCTGTGGTGCATCCCATTTCTCACTCTTTGATATGATCTAAGACTATTATAGTCAATTGCATGCAGCTGGTGGCTTAGGTCATGGTGTGGCTCATGCCGTCTTCTTTTGTTTGAGCGTCTTAACGCCGGCATTTGGTCCAGCCACATTCTATGTCGAAAGATGTTCCAAGGTGCCATTTTTTCTCATCTCTGGTGAGTCAACTAAACCCAATTTTTGCTTCTATACAGCGTTGATTATTAGCTTTGTGGCTTGTTGATCTCGTTAGTCGCTGGTGGTTTGATTTTGTCTAGTAGACTAGTAGTAGTCATGTTATGTCTTTACAACCATGTGTTACAGCAATCATTGCTCTTGCATTTGTCACGATCCACACATTCTCGATGGTCATTGCTTTCGAAGGGTATGCAAAAGGGAACAAAGTAGATCAAGTCATAGTTCCAGTCATACACCTAGCTGCTGGGATGTTGGTAAAGATCTCAGATTTTTCAACTTACACCAGTATTATCCTCTTGCTGATTAAGATTGTTCTTCTAATCGCAATCTTTTACTGGTTTTTGTTTTCTTTGTCCATACACAAGACATTGGTGAATTTTGCATCGGAAGGTTGTTTGATCGGCGTTCCTCTTCTTTACCTGGTGGCATCTTTGACTCTCGTGCATTGTGGAAAAATGGTTTGGCAAAGATTGATAGAAAGCCGGAACCAAAGCGTCCCTTTACAGTAATCTGGCCTTTTGGGTTCAGCCTTTAGGTTTTCTCTTGTCTCCTATAAAACCTTCCTTTGATCTCCTGACTTTTTTTTTTTTTTTTTTTTGGGCTTGCAAATACAATTCGGCTTTATCCCCTAATCATGTTCTTTTTCCTTTCACTCAACTGTGATGATCCCTTAGTTATCAAGAAAAACTTGTTAACAGAGTTTTATTTATTCACTATGGTACTACAACTTTGCCTTAAACTCCCTGACCATATATGTATATATAGTATATAAAGTAAATGAAAATCCGGTACAACTATAACACGAGCTTTTGGATGATGAGAAGAATAATCCCAGATAGTTTGAAAACATTCATGTTATAGAAAGTGAGAGGAGACTTTGAATCGGACCGCCCCTTCTCCATACGCGTCGGTGCCAATCCTTGCAAGTTCCCAAGCAGTGTGAAACCTAGCCAAAGCGATTCCGTAGTCCACTTTGCAAACCTCGATCCGTCTCTTCCCGTTCGGACCACCTGAACTGTCGACTGATTCTGTCAATATGGGTCGTTGCGTCGTCCACTTGAATTTTTGATTGTGTTATCTGATATAGTGTTCCCAAGCAAGTTTTTTTATTAGTCTGACATGGCATCGTGACATATCCCTTTTCTTTTAGTCGGACATTAAATTGTTGTGTTAGTCAGATTTTACGTTTATTACTACTGCTTAATTAATTATAGGTATTTAGCTAGTAGTACAAAATAATTATTTTTAAAAATGCACATATTAAATCTCTAAACATTACCGCAATTAAAAGCACGTCGCCGAGGTCGCGTGCGGCTGGTATTCGAGGATCCTTCCCGATGGTTGTGAGACAAAATGCCACATCAGGCGTCTCGTTGCAGAGCTTGTCAATATCTTTGGCTGGAATCGCGTTTGCTACTGGGAACGCAATGAGCAGCACTAAGAACAAAAACGACGTAAGAGAACTTACATATTTCATTTATATTGTTGCCATATTGAGAAACAAAACAAAAAGTATGATTTTGTTTTGTTTTGTTTTGTTTTATCTTGTTTTAATTCTTTTACAGTTTTACTTAGAATTGAAAGTTATAAATATCTCTAACTGGTTATCATTTTTGGGAATATGTTGAATGAGATGAATATTTTATAAAAAAGTGAAACAAATTAATGGGATGATGGTAGTTAAATGAATGAGATGGATGCATGCAGAGAAATGTCTATGTAATTACATGAATGGTAATTCTTTAAAATTTATTAAAAAAACACGAATGGTAGTTCTTTAAAAGTTATTTAAAGGAATATGGTGGAATGCAAACAAACTTAAAATAATACTATTATATAAGTATCAAAAATGTAAAAAATACTAATGTATGTCTTATAAAAGTTTAAACGATGCTAAATTTAAGCAGAACAATGTTTTAATATTATACTCATCAACTTTCATAAATAAATAAAACAATTATAACCATGTCTATAATTATAAGAAAGAATAAATTATGCTGTCTTTTTTGTATAAAGTATAAACTATTTTTATAAAACAAATCTTAATTTTTGAAATCTGAATCATAAGCAACTTAAAATAGTTCCCTTTTTTTTTATTCGTCGCATTTACAATTATTTTGGTCTCTAAGAGTCATTATCATGGGCTTCCTCGCGACACGTTCTCATTTCTTTGTACAATGCTTTAAAGCAAATGAAAGATCGAATTACGGTGAAACTAGCGAGAAAGCTTGCTGATAGTAGAACGCATTATAGCCCATAGTTTGTAGACATTGTTGTAATATAAAGTGAGAGGAGACTTTTGTCTCGGGCCATTCTTTGCCCACTCGTCTTCGCACTGGCGCAAAGCCTCAAAGCCACCTTGTGAGCCTGTGGTCATTTCCAAACGCTCTGTAAACGATTTTTTGTAAGCAGCATCCCAAGCCTTCTGGAAACTGGTTGATGCAAGTTTGTATTTTTCCTCGCAAACTTGGATTCGTTTTTTCCCTATTGGACCATTGTAGTTTTTACGGACTTTGTTGATTTTTTTTATTCCATCGGCCGCTTGGAGTTTTGCCTGTTTTACCTGATAAGAAGTCTCAGTCTTCTGTAAACCTATTTTTTTTTTATAGAGTGAGAATAAAATTATATTTTCTCGATATGATTTTCATTGGTACTTTAGATGCTCTCTGATAGTGTAAAAGTAATTGCGAACTTACAAATATTGACTAATATTTTCTTACTCCGTTCCAGAATTAATCGGAGAGTAAATTCTACATACATTTTCCTCAATTCTATTTTCTTACCCTCATACGCATCTACTTAATTAAAACTATTACCATTAATTATTATCGTTTCATTATAGATTTATTTTGTTTTATTTTATATTGCAAATTTTGAATGTATTTGGTAACAGATTGAATATTCTGCATTTTTTCATAATTGGTTGACTTATTTTAAACTATATCGTAAATGATATTCCCTATGTATCAAAATAATATATACAATGTTTTTTATATAAAAAAAAATTTTAGAATTTTCACAGATTTTAACAAAGAAAATAATTTTCAATCATAATTGAATATACTTTTTTTAGATTAAACATTTTATTATGACTCTATACCCATAGTAATTTAAGAAAAAAAATTCAATAAATACTTTTTGGAATTTAAAATTAGTTTTTTATATAATAAGTAACTTAAAACATTTATCTTTAAGAAACAAAACAAAATACAGAAAAATCATTTAAAAAAAAAACAGAGGGATTATACGTTTTGGAAAGAAGAAAAAAATTTACAAAGTAGGATGTTTTTAAATTTGTAGGTGTAGTTATTACTATAAATGATATTACCTATGTTTCAAAATAATATATACTCCATATGTTTTCTAAAGATAATTTATTTTAGAAATTTCACAGATATTAAGAAAGACAAATAATTTTCAATCCTAATTGTATAATTCTTTAGGTTAAACAATTTCTTATGACTCTAAACACATAGTAATTTTAGAAACTTTATTTTTCCAATAAATATTTCTTGAAATTTACAACTATTTTTTTATAATAAGAAACTTAAAACATTTATCTTCAAGAAAGAAAAAAAAGCAGAAAAGTCATTTAAAAAAAAAAGAGGGAGTCTATGTGTTTTGGAGAAAAAAAAAGTTTAGAAAGTTAGATGTCTTGTAATTTGTAGGTGTAGTTATTGCTATTTTTTTTACTTAATTTACATCTAGAATATTTATTGTTTCAAGAAAACCTTAAAGTGTTAATAAAAACAAAATTAGAATAGTTATTTTTAATTTTTTTCTTAACATATGTGAAAAATCTAAGACATTTATCATTGTATAATAAATTTCTTAATTTTATATATGAATTTAAACATTTTCAAATGGATTGAGTAATTATAACTGATGTTACCGCAATTATAAACACGTCGTTGAAGTCTCGTGCGGTTACTATTTCTCTGTTTCTCCCAATGTATCTCATGCAGAATTCCACGTCGTCAGGTGTCTCTTTGCAAAATTTGGATACCTCTTCAGCTGACATTGCATTTGAGGTTGGGAATGCAAAGAGTGTGAATAATAATAACAACGATGAAAGAAAATCTACGTGTCTCCGTAGCACTATGGCCATAACTGAGAAACAATTAAAGGTGTTTGTTAATTTTTTTTACTTCTTCTTTTGTGTGTGTTTCAGACATTTTATTTATTTATAAATTGAAAGCTAAAAATAGTATTAATAATCGTACGTAAATGGATGAGATTATTTAGGAGACTTTGCATGGTAGCACATTAAAATAGTAGCAGTAATGACATTTAAAGATTAAAGGGTGGAAGTCTTTTTCAGGTGTGGACTCATGTTGTATGAACACAATTGGAGAAAGTTCCAGCTTGAGATGGTGTGAGTTCTTCCAGATTTTGCTTTTGATTTTCTAGCCCATTGTATTCACCAAGAACGGTTTGTGATCTGGCCCCATCGAATCAAAGAAGGCAAATTGGTTTGGAAGTGATTTTTTACACTGATTCATATCTAATAAATATACAATTGTATCGGTTAACATTCACCAACCAATTTGCAAATTTCCAGAACAAAGATAGAACCACAGACCCAAATCAGATCCAATGTCCCAAAATTTTCAATTTTCAGTTCTTGGTTTTCTTCAACTTGAAATAGAACATTATAAAATGGTATTTTCATAAAAATAAAACCTATTTCATTGTTATTACTTATTAATTACTTCGAGAAACATGTAAAAATAAGGATCTCTTATAGCAAAGTCCATTAAAAATACAAACATATTGTCTTCTAGTCTTCACACACCACTACCAGCCACAAGCCACCAATTCTTTAGTAATCTTTGATGAGAAAAAGGGTGATTCTAGCAAGCGTCACCAAAAGAGATAATTTGTTAATTTTGTCTAACAATGGATTCAAAAAGAATTTATCCTAAAAATATGAACTTTTGATTCAAAAAGAATTTATCCTAAAAAAGATGAAATTTTGTCTAACAATGAATTAAAAAAGAATATATTCAACATCCAGTCATTTTGACAGACGTCTTGGCTGAAAACCCCATCAGAAAAGTGATCAACACCATTTTAATAAAAACGAGTTTCAACAATCCTCTACACAAATAAAATAACTTTAAATTACTCAATATATTTAACAGATTTAACTTTCTAAATAAGATTTTACAAGACTCATAAATACTTTTGAGTTTTGAGAGTATAAACAAAAAATCATCTATATATAAAGTGATAGCATTATATATAATATATTTACTTTTGCCATGAAAGACTGGATGCTTGGACAATTGAATGGTAGAGTTGTTTTGTATATATATACCATATTTGCTAGGTTTCGAACGCACAACAGGTTTTATTCTTTCTTTCTGCCACTCTATTTTATTGAGGCGCATAGGCTGCAATTAACTATCTACTAATGCCTCAGGGATCTAGCCATCAACACAGTGGTGGAGCTGGTGGTTCAAGCCGAGGGAAAGAAGTCAATGGCAGCTTTTCAGGCTGGGGTACACATAAAAGTGTTCGATTCAAATTGGGTACACCGAATGATACGAGTGATGAATCAAGAGAGGTCGAGAAGATTAATGATGGTGAAACTGATGATGGTGGCAGTCCTTGGATTGGCGCGCATCGCACGACTTTCGACTAGAATGATGTTGAAGTATTCCTGGATCTCGAGACAATGTGGTTTGTAAGTGTAGAAGGTGCACATGATTTTATACCAAACATCAAAAAGGGACTGAAAGAGGTGAAAGGCACATATCATCTACGGTAGGTGCATTCTTACGGATTTTTTCATAGGAGTGAAGTACCGCCTTTTTGTTCAAGTGTTTTGGATGTGCAAACGATTCAGGACTCCATTAGTGATTTAAGACAAGCATCATTTGTACCTTTTCATGCAACAGAGATCCTTTGTCCAAAGTGTAAAAATGCAAGAGTAAGTCGTGGAGATAGGACCGCAAATGTCTGAATGTATCAGATGAAGTGGCTTTGACGCTCTCCATAGACTTTTCTTTGGCATTGAGCTTTCCAATGATGCAGGTCTGACATTTTTCCTTAGTAATCTTCACCACCGGAAGACCAACCACCATATTCTTGTGAGCTAGCGTCATTATCCCATCATGATTACCATGTCCAAATCGACAATGCCACAAATGAACCTCTTTCTCTATTATATCCTCAGTCTGTAGACATATAATGGTTTTTGTGGATTTAGATGCTACTTCTTTTATTTTAAAATGTAAGTTGTTTTAGCTAAAACACACATATTAAGACATGTTTATTCTTTTTATCTTTTCTAAAAATCAATTATTATTTTGCAACTAAAAAAATGAATAACTCATGTTTATTTTTTTTGCTTTCCAACTTTTTAAATTATAATATTATTATTTTTTACCTATAATGTGTAAAAAACTTATATTTTAAAACCAACTAAATCTCTAAAACAATTTATATTTTGAAACAGAGGAAGTAAGAGATAAAACATTCGATTTCCACTGCTCTGCATGATCACTCCTTTGCCGGGATAGAATACTTTGCAGGTTCCATCTTGTATCAGAATCGCTAGACTCTTCTCTTGAAGCTGGCCCATATATACTTAGAAGATTATTCCTAAGCTGAGGCACATAATAGACATCGGATATTATGACCTGAGTAATGCCGTCCACTTGTACTCTTACGCTCCCTTTTGCCACCATTGACAATGTCATGTCATTCCCAAGTTTCACGGTTTTGTTGAAATCTCCTTCCAAGTTGCAGAACCGCTTCTTGTTCCCTGTCATGTGATTGCTGCAACCTGAGTCAAGAAACCACACATCTTCTCTGTTTGCTTTGTTCAGCTCTACATACGCCATTAGCAGCACCTCCTCATCTGCTTCTAATTCTGCATAGTTCGCTCTTTTCTCCCATTCTGGACATTCATATTGAAAATGTCTAAGATTATATGACACTTGTAGCACTCAATTAGTGCGTTGTTTGTGGATATTCTTCCTCGTCCTCTGCCACGACCTTCCCTAAAGCCTCCACGGCCTATTCCTCTGCTTGGCCTTTCATCCTGAGATACTTTCAGCGCCTGTTCTTCTTCTTGTTGTCCCCAGATTCGGCCTGTTCTCTCTCATTTTCTGTGATTTGAGAATCGTCTATTCGAATTGCGTGTGGCGTTCGTTGTAGATATCACATGTTGCTGCTCCTCAGCTACCAGAAGCATCTAACGGGGTTTCTTCTTGTTCTGCCAAGGAAGAGTTTTCTCCAATAAACACATGTTCTGTGAAACATGAAGCTTTTAATGCAGTTGTGCCTAAGAAATTACCTATTGGTGCTAAAAGGACTGGTGGTCTTGGATTGGTGCTCGGAAGCTGACTTGTAAGGCAAGTCTCGTGTTTTTAAAAAAAAAATTAAACTTTAGCATTACGGTGCTTGTTCAGATTGAAATATCTGATTTTCTTTTTTTTGTAAGCAGCCAAAGGAAAATCTCTATGACCAGGAAACCGGAAGAATCTGATGTCAAACAACACTTGTTGCAATATATCCCTATGATGTTTAGTTTGATTTGATATGTTGCTGTTGACCGGAGAAGAAAGATCTCTGGTTCTCGGTAGTGAACAAAGCAAGAATTATGAAGGAGAAGCTCGTAGCTGACTTTTATGGAGTTGATATATATGGCCTGCGTAGGGATTTGACAGATTTAATGGAGAAATTGCGTGCACAAGATGCTGATGCGATCCCTTTTGCCACTCGCCTGGAATGGGTCGGCCAAATGCGTGACCGAGAAAGTTTTTTTACCAGAATCTCTTGACATCTAATACGTTTTATAACAAAGATCGTCCATTATAATTCAATTCAATAAGTACGTTTACAACATTTGTATTATTCAATCAAAACAATGGCAGATCGTATGTTTCATATAATGAATGATGTTTGACTTGAGTCGCAGGTTAGACTATTAGATGCCAGACGTGCCAGCCCGTGTCCAAATAGCTCATCATATGAGTCAACATATTGTGATTTCAAATTCACATTTAATCCAATAGAGTGCTCCCGTTTTTACCAATATAATCCACGGTTAAAATTTGGTTTTGAAGACTAAAAAATCATCTTCCTTTTAAAATGTTGCAGCCACCAATCGTATAATACGATTCAACAATGCATATAACCACAACAAACGCATCAATCGCACCAGCATCACATTTACCAAACAACGAGTATGTTATCATCTCATATTTTTTTATCAAGTCAATGTCTACTGCTTAACAAAAGATTATAAATGTAATCAAATTTTCTTTTTAAAAAAATCTCTCATAAGAAACTACTGTATAGAGACTTTTGAAATATTAATAAGTTGGAGTTCGAAAAAAATATCTAAAATATTACAAACAATGAAAATTTGTAACTTTGTTAATATCTCCAACAAGCCATCTTAAATCCTTAGTACAGTTGCATAAACTAAACCAGATTGTAATTGATTTACGAATTAGTACTTTACGACACCGAGGTTCCGGTTCGGTTCGGTTCGATTGTTGGATTTGGGTGGGCAGCTAAAACCCGGATATCTACCCTGTCTCCAATCGCTCGTATAAATAGTTTGAGAAACCCTAAAATACCATTGAAACCTACTCACAGCCACAAGGACTCCGCTACTCAAAAAGAAGAAATGGCGTGCACCGTAGATTTCCGGTGCCTTGATGAGGGATTCGGCGGAAAAACCTACAAACGGAAGCGCGAATCTCAGGAACAAGCCGCCGCCGAAGCAATCGCCGATGAAGCGTCGATGGACATTGATGGCGGCGATCTGGTTCGTCCTCCTCCCTCCAAACGCAGCGCCGTCGCTTCCGCAGAGGATCCAGACAAACCAATGGCGGCTGTGGCGTTTGGGCGACCGACGTACGACGGTGTAATCGCCGGGAAAGTTTCCGGACGGTCGTGGAAGCAGCCGCGAACTCACAGAGCTTCGGGGAGGTTTGTGAGGAACAGCAAGAGACCTGATCTGGAGGAGATGAAGAGGCAGAAGGAGATTAAGAGGGCGTACAAGGAGAGGATTAACGAGCTTAAGGAAGAGATTAGGAGTAACAAGGTGGAGAAGAGGAAGAAGAGGGAAGAGAGGGAGAAGAGGAAGAAGGAGAACGTTCTGAGAACTGGTACCAAATTGCAGAAGATCACAAACCCTAAGACGCTTAAGAAGATCGCCAAGTCCAAGCAGAGGAAGCATCTCAAAAATATTCCTGATGAGATGTTGAATGGGAACAAGAAGACCATCACAAACTAGTGAATTTTTTTTATGTTCTTCATTAAGACAAAAAAGGCAAGTTTTTTTTCAGTTTTGTATTTTCTCGTGACGTTTAGTCCATGTTGTTACTTAACAATCTGCAACTAAGAATCAAATTAATAGTGAGATTTTTTGCTTCTACCAAAAATCAAACCGTCTTTATGTCTTTGATATGCAATGCGAGTTTTAGCATTTATGAAATTTCAGTGACCAAGTTGGACAATCCTTTGCGAAACATCATCCAATCATAGACCTTTACAAGTTTTGAGGAAGTACAATGGTTGATCCTTTTGAGTTTTTGCTCTGGTGTTCTCAGTTCCTCTGGTTTGAATTTGAATTGCGGCTGTCTTTAGCTGTTATCTCGAGTGTTTCAATTCTAGTCTTGTCCTGGGAGAGAGCTTAACGTCTCTATGTCAAAGATTAAATCTTTTGAGAAGTTTTGTTGCTGCACAAGAATTACTTTGCCAATGAAAGTGTTTGCAGTCGCAAGCAAAATTTCTTTTAAGATTGTTTCAACAATTACTCTTTGCTATATTAGGTGGGACAATGACTCTTGCAACGTGCAAATGTTTTACACCTTTATAATCTAATTTGGTGAGAGTTGGTCATAATTTTTTAAAAACATTTTATTTATAAGACCAGGAGCATAATATCAGAGTTCATGTTCTCACATCTTCCTCAGAAAATTTGATATGGCTTCATAGAAATTTTAAAAGAAAAATCTAAAAATATCCACAATAACATAGAAAGAAACAAACGAAAAAGCAACCATGACTTTGGTGAGCTACTAATCTATTTCAGAAGCTAATATTTTTTAAAAAATCCATTTGAGAAGCCGAGATAAAGAGCCCAACTCGAAGATAGTCTCTCTCTTTCTTGACTTATCTCTCTGAAAAGCTCTTCGATTGCTTACTACCCCCTTTTCAATGGCGTCAACGCCGCCTCATCGGTCTATGACCACCGCCAATACCCATCCTCAGATCCGCCAACAACCCACTCCCAACCACCGTCCATGGTTTCCACAGCGTGTCCCTCCCTGTCCTCGTGGCCATCGCGCCGTTACCTCAGCTCCTCCGTCTTCGTCAGTCGACGCTGTAGCGTCTGCCCAAGTATCAAAGACTCCTACTTTCTCTCCCCTGCAAACTCCCAAATCGGACTCCTCCGATTTTTCCGGTCGTCGATCGACTCGGTTCGTCTCCAAGATGCATTTCGGGCGACCTAGAGCTACAGTGGCCACGCGGCACAGCTCGGCTGCGGAAGAAGCACTTCAGAGCGCTATCAAGTTCTCCGGAGACGACGACATGTTCCAGAATCTATTGTTGAGCTTAGAGTCTAAGCTCCGTGGCTCTGACGACTATACCTTCATACTCCGAGAGTTAGGGAATCGAGGTGAGTGCGATAAAGCTGTTGGCTTTTATGAGTTTGCAGTAATACGAGAGAGGAGAAAGATTGAGCAAGGGAAATTAGCTAGCGCAATGATATCTACTCTCGGTAGGTTAGGCAAAGTAGCCATTGCTAAGAGAGTTTTCGAAGCTGCTTTAGCTGGTGGGTATGGAAACACGGTCTACGCCTTCTCTGCTCTTATCAGCGCTTATGGGAGAAGTGGGCTCCATGAGGAAGCCATTAGTGTCTTCAACTCCATGAAAAGCTATGGCTTGAGGCCGAATTTGATTACCTACAATGCCGTGATTGACGCTTGCGGTAAAGGGGGAATGGAGTTTAAGCTAGTAGCCGAGTACTTCGATGAGATGCAGAGGAACGGTGTGCAGCCTGATAGAATAACATTCAACTCTTTGCTCGCTGTTTGTAGCAGAGGAGGTTTGTGGGAAGCAGCAAGGAACCTCTTTGATGAGATGTTGGATAGAGGGATTGAGCAAGATGTCTTCACTTATAATACTCTTTTGGATGCAATCTGTAAAGGAGGGAAGATGGATCTTGCTTTCGAAATCCTGGCAGCTCAGATGCCCGCTAAGAGAATCATGCCTAATGTTGTAAGTTATAGCACTGTCATTGATGGGTTTGCAAAAGCCGGGAGATTCGACGAAGCTCTTAACTTGTTTGATAAGATGAGATTTCTCGGAATTGCATTAGACAGAGTTTCTTATAATACATTGCTTTCTATTTATACGAAAGTTGGTAGATCCGAAGAAGCTTTGGATGTTTTAAGAGAGATGGCATCTGTTGGGATAAAGAAGGATGTTGTGACTTATAATGCTCTTCTTGGAGGGTATGGGAAACAACGGAAATACGATGAAGTGAAACAGATTTTCGCTGAGATGAAGCGGGAGCACGTGCTGCCTAATTTACTGACTTATTCTACATTGATCGATGTGTACTCGAAAGGAGGTTTGTATAAAGAGGCAATGGAGATATTTAGGGAGTTTAAGAGCGTCGGTTTAAGAGCTGATGTTGTGTTGTACAGCGCATTGATTGATGCATTGTGCAAGAATGGGTTGGTGGGTTCTGCTGTTTCTTTGATCGATGAGATGACAAAGGAAGGAATTAGGCCTAACGTTGTAACCTACAATTCCATCATCGATGCCTTTAATCGTTCTGCAACTATGGAGTCCCTAGCTGAATCTAGAGATGGTGGAGCTAGTAGCTTAGAAGAAGTTGGATCGTCCTCTTTTTCTTCTTCTTTAAGTAAAATGACTGAAACAGAGGATAGTCAGGTGATACAGATATTTGGGAAATTAACCACTGAGAGTTTTAGTAGAATGAAGAAAGACTGTAAGGAGGGTATGCATGAGCTCTCCTGTATGTTGGAAGTAATCCAGAAAATGCATCAGCTGGAAATAAAACCAAATGTTATAACCTTTTCTGCGATTCTGAATGCTTGCAGGTTTGTCCTTCTTTTGGATCGCTCTTCTTGAACTTAGCGAGTGAAAGATATCAATATATATTTAGTTTGGCTGCGTGGTTGCATTTTGGTGAGGATTCTGATTTTGTTGACATGTTTTGTATTGATGTAGTCGGTGCAACTCATTAGAAGATGCATCAATGCTGCTAGAGGAGCTCAGGGTGTTTGATAATCGGGTATATGGTGTTGTTCATGGACTTCTGATGGGCCATAGAGAGAATGTGTGGCTCCAGGCTCAGAGCTTATTCGACAAAGTAAACCAAATGGATGGTTCGACTGCTTCTGCTTTCTACAATGCTCTTACCGACATGCTTTGGCACTTTGGTCAGGTAATAATCACATTGAAATTGTAGAGGCTTTACCCAAGTTTTGGAATCGGTTTTTGTGCATTTAGTATTAGTGCAACGGCTTACTCTTGGAAACCCTTTTACAGAAACGAGGCGCACAACTTGTGGCGCTTGAGGGAAGATCTAGGCAAGTTTGGGAGAATGTGTGGTCTGAGTCTTGCTTAGACTTGCACCTTATGTCTTCTGGTGCTGCACGTGCAATGGTCCATTCTTGGTTGCTAAACATACGCTCCATTGTCTATGAAGGTCATGAGTTACCTAAACTCTTAAGGTAAGCTGCATTAGCATTACAGTGACTTTGGAGATACTAATCTACGCGGTTTGGTCTTGCTTAAAAAGATTTGATATGTTTTCGTTAACTTTCTACTTTTTTTTTTGTGGCAGCATATTGACTGGTTGGGGGAAACACAGCAAAGTGGTCGGAGACGGAGCACTAAGGCCAGCGGTTGAAGCGCTTTTGAGGGGTATGGATGCACCGTTCTACCTCTCAAAATGCAACATGGGACGGTTCACATCAAGCGGTACGGTCGTAGCTACTTGGCTGCGTGAATCAGCGACACTCAAACTCTTGATCCTCCATGATCACATAACCACCAGAGCTAACACAACAGTGAGATCAACAGACCAACATGAACAAACCTCTCTCACTTTGCAGCCCCTTCTATTGTAGCTGTACATTGTGATGTAAACAATTTATGACCACCAAGTCTGTGTTGGGACAAGGGTGTGATTCTGTGCTCTGTGCTAATATTTTGTAACAAGCAACACAAATTGTATTTTGAACCCCAAACAATTGTTTAATTACATAACTAAATAGATCTCACGATTTAGAAAAGGGTTTTCTTCAATAATCATCAATATAAAACGGTACGAGAGATCTATATAAAAAAATTTTCAACACAAAATTTCTCTAAATTCGTTATAAAAAGGTATAATGACTTTGGTATTTAAATAGTATATTATATATAAGTATTAATATTGACTAGAGTGTTATTCTTTGAGTTTTGATAGTGTGAGAAGTTAACCCGGAAAAAAATATTTTAAACAGAAATTAGACAAAGTTAGATTGTTTCAAGTTTCAACACAGCTTTATGCTATATTAGGTGGGACATTGACTCTTGAATGTTCGAATCCTCTTCTACTCGTCTATAGGTAGGTTGGTGGATTATTGAATAATTTTGGTGACAGATGGTCGCATAAAAGCTAAAGCTAAACCATTTTTCTTTAACATTTCATTAATAAGACCAGGAGCATATCTTTTCTCAGATCTCTTTTCAGAAAGTTTTGATATAATTATGCTTCATCATAGGAATGAAATCTTTTAGGAATATGACAATCTACACACAAAAAAATATGAACAAGAAAATAACAAACGAGTGAAAAAATAAAAGAAAGAGATATATTTTATAAATTATTGGAAGTTATTTAAAGAAACAAACGAAAAAATAGCGCATGAGTGACTTTGGTGATGTAATCAAATTTCGAAAGCTATTAAAGAGAAAGTCCAAACTCAACGATCTTAAAGTTTCAGTCTTTTACTCTCTTTCTCTCCAAAAACCCTTCATAAAGTTTCAGTCTTTTAGTATTCCACACGACCATAAAACCCCTATGTAGAGAGCTCTTCGCTTCCGTATCTTACAATGGCGTCAACGCCGCCTCACTGGTCTGTTTTCACAGTCAATAACCACCGTCAGACCCGTCAACAACCCAACTCTAACTACCGTCCATGGCTTCCACAGCGTGTCTCTTCCTCTCCCCGTGGGGGTCGCGCCGTTACCTCAGCTCCTCCCTCTTCATCTTCCTCTGTTTCCGCCGCCACTGTTTCTTCCGGTACACTATCAAAGACTCCTACTTTTTCTCCTCTGCAAACCCCGAAACCGGGTCTCTCCTCGGATTTCTCGGGTCGTCGATCGACCCGGTTCGTCTCCAAGATGCATTTCGGGCGACCTAAGACTACAATGGCCTCGCGGCACAGCTCTGCTGCGGAAGACGCACTGCAGAACCGTCGGCTTTTACGAGTTCGCGGTTAAACGAGAGAGGAGAAAGAACGAGCAAGGGAAATTAGCTAGTGCCATGATTAGTACTTTCGGTAGATTAGGCAAAGTAGCCATCGCTAAGAGTGTTTTCGAAACTGCTTTGGCTTGTGGGTATGGAAACACGGTCTACGCCTTCTCTGCTCTGATCAGCGCTTATGGTAGAAGTGGTCTCCATGAGGAAGCCATTAGTGTCTTCAACTCCATGAAAAGCTATGGCTTGAGGCCTAATTTGGTTACCTACAATGCTGCGGTAAAGGAGGAATGGAGTTTAAGCGAGTAGCCGAGTTTTTCGATGAGATGCAGAGGTACGGTGTGCAGCCTGACAGAATAACATTTAACTCTTTGCTTGGTGTTTGTAGTAGAGGAGGGTTGTGGGAAACAGCAAGGAGTCTCTTTGATGAGATGTTGAATAGAGGGATTGAGCAAGATGTGTTCTCTTATAATACGCTCTTGGATGCAATCTGCAAAGGAGGGCAGATGGATCTTGCTTTCGATATCCTTGCTCAGATGCCGTCGAAGAGAATCATGCCTAATGTTGTGAGTTATAGTACTGTCATTGATGGGTTTGCAAAGGCTGGGAGATACGATGAAGCTCTTAACTTGTTTGATGAGATGAGATATCTCGGAACTGCATTGGATAGAGTTTCTTACAATACATTGCTTTCCATTTATACTAAAGTTGGTAGATCTGAAGAGGCTTTGGACATTTTTAGAGAAATGGCTACGGCTGGGATTAAGAAGGATGTTGTGACTTATAATGATCTTCTGGGAGGATACGGGAAACAAGGAAAATATGTTGAAGTGAAGAACGTTTTCGCTGAGATGAAACGGGAGCATGTTCGGCCCAATTTACTGACTTATTCTACATTGATGGATGTGTACTCGAAAGGGGGTTTGTACAAAGAGGCAATGGAGATATTTAAGGAGTTTAAGAGCGTCGGTTTAAGAGCTGATGTTGTGTTGTACAGCGCATTGATTGATGCATTGTGCAAGAATGGGTTGGTGGGTTCTGCTGTTTCTTTGATCGATGAGATGGCAAAGGAAGGTATTAGGCCTAACATCGTAACTTACAATTCCATAATCGATGCATATGGTCGTTCTGCAACTATGGAGTCCCTAGCTGAACCTAGTAGCTTAGAAGTTGGATTTTCCTCTTCTCCTCCGCCTTCTTCTTCTTTAAGTGAAACAGAGGATAATCGGGTAATGCAGATATTTGAGCAGTTAACCACTGAGAGTAATAACAGAATGAAGAAAGATTGTGAGGAGGGTATGTATGAGCTCTCCTGTATATTGGAAGTTATACGCAAAATGAATCAGCAGGAAATAAAACCAAATGTTGTAACCTTTTCAGCGATACTGAACGCGTGCAGGTTTGTCCATGTTCTTGAAGTTAAAGATATGGGCCCAACTGTTAGGGTTAACAAAGATTGGTTGCGTTTTGGTGAGGATTCTGATTTTGTTGACATGTTTTGTACTGATGTAGTCGGTGCAACTCATTAGAAGATGCATCAATGCTGCTAGAGGAGCTCAGGGTGTTTGATAATCAGGTATATGGTGTCGTTCATGGACTTCTCATGGGCCATAGAGAGAATGTGTGGCTCCAGGCTCAGAGCTTATTCGACAAAGTAAAGGAAATGGATGGTTCGACCGCTTCTGCCTTCTACAATGCTCTTACCGACATGCTTTGGCACTTTGGTCAGGTAAAGATCACACAAATATTGTAGAGCCAAGTTTTGGAATCCGTTTAAATCTTATGCAGCTTACTTTTGGAAACCTTTTTATTAATAGAAACGAGGCGCACAACTTGTGGCGCTTGATGGAAGATCTAGACAAGTTTGGGAGAACGTGTGGTCTAATTCTTGCTTGGACTTACACCTTATGTCCTCTGGTGCTGCACGTGCAATGGTCCATGCTTGGTTGCTGAATATACGCTCCATTGTCTATGAAGGTCATGAGTTACCTAAACACATGAGGTAAGCTAGAAAAGCTTTTCGGTGTAACTTCCAACCTAACCTGAACACCATTCGTCTAAACGGTTTCTCCCTAAAACACCTTTATATAGCACAAGAATGTAGTCCGACCTCATCTTTTTCGAAATCTGATATGCATCATGTCCGAAGCCTAAAGTCTATGCTAAGTTTTTCTTCTGGTAACCATCAAGTAGTTTGATATGCTTAAGTTATTTGGTCTTACATTCACTTTTAGAATAAAGTGACTCTTGAGATACTCATTCATGTGGTATGTTCTTGTTTTGGTTATCTCACAATATGTGAACCATTTGTTTTTTGTGGCAGCATATTGACTGGTTGGGGAAAACACAGCAAAGTAGTTGGAGACGGAGCGTTGAGGCGAGCGGTTGAAACGCTTTTGAGGGGAATGGACGCACCGTTCCACCTCTCAAGATGCAACATGGGACGGTTCACATCAAGCGGTACGGTCGTAGCAACTTGGCTGCGTGAATCGGCCACACTCAAACTCTTAGTCCTTCATGATCACATAACCACCAGAGCTAACATAACAATGAGATCAGCAGACCAACCTGAACAAACCGCTCTCACCTTGCAGCTTCTTCCTTTGTAAGCTCTATAGTGTGATGTTAACAGTTTATGACTATCAAATTTGTTCCCGATGAATCAGTAATGTTGTGGAAAGACTTTGTAACAAGCAATACAGATAATTAATTATGTGAACAATGGTTTTTACTTAACCAGATAATGACGAATCAAATTTCAGACTAATCTTGAGATATGTAAACTGCGGAGTATTTGTTTTCTGTGGTTGTAATGGCCAATAAGAAAATGCTTTCTTTGAGATTCTGTTTCTGGTTTTTGACCAACCAATAAGGAGTTTTTTGAATCGCTTAGTTGGTTTGAAAATTGTTTTCTTCTTTTTTATTTCAAACTTGTTTGGTGTATGAAAATTTCTTAAATTTTATAAGATCACATTTTACTGGAGTAGATACATTATTATAAAGTGAAAAAGTAAAAACTATAATGCTATAGGCCCTTGTGGTGCTCGATATACTTCGCTGGTTTTCTGAAAAACCGAACAGGGGAATCCACAGATTTTCTAGATTTTTTTTTTAATTTGACAGCTAATCCTGTTTGACAGATTAATACAGTAATTAATTACAAAAATATTAAACTAATTCAACATGTCAACACCGACCAAACCAGTGACGCTTCACTTACATATTTAACGTAATAACGTGAATCGTTCATTTGATGTAAGATTTAAATATTTTTCGTTATTTTCCTGACGTTTTATATCAATAAGCTTCAAATTAATCAGCATCATCGATCAATCAAAATCCTTATTTTAATTGCTAAAAGGATGTAACTGATTTTCACTTTAAAATTAACTGATTAACGTATATACTTATTTTACGGGTATATTATATTATTTATAAGGTGAAAATATTATTTTGCTACTATATACCTAAACTGAAATAGTTGAATCAAAATTTCATTTTTCTTTTCCGATGATATGAATATTTTCTTAAACACGTGAGAGAGTATTCTGGTTGGTGTTTTGTCATTATCCAATTACCTGACAAGATATATCACACACCATAATTTATATACTAAATTTATTATTTACTCCTACTTATATCAATATGACTACTGATATACGATTATTTGGACTTTTTAATTAGATAAAGAAGAAAACAGAGAGACAATTACGGAGAAAACAAAAACAGAAAAATCAAAGATTCGGGCAAAGGTTTGAAAAGGCAATAAGATTTTTGCATTTTAGTAGAAACTTAAATGGTTTTTTGGTAAGATATAATTTTGGATATTTTCTGAAATTATGGATATTGTTATTAAAAACCCAAAAAGAAAAGATTATATTAATGATTACGCTAATATCAGTGGCTTTCACCAGTCGCAAGTCTCGTCGTCCTCTATATAAACCATTTCTCTCCTTCCTTCATTTTTTATATTATTCTCTTCTGTATTTTTCTCCTTCTTTCAATTCTCCGATTTGATCCCAAAAAAAGTTTCAACAGATCTCGTTTACTAATGGCATCCAACGGCGAGAAAGGACTGATCGTTAGCTTCGGCGAGATGCTGATCGATTTCGTCCCTACCGAATCCGGCGTCTCCCTCGCCGAAGCTCCTGGGTTCCTCAAAGCTCCCGGCGGTGCTCCTGCGAACGTCGCCATCGCCGTTTCTCGTCTCGGTGGACGCTCCGCCTTCGTCGGAAAACTCGGAGACGACGAGTTCGGCCACATGTTGGCTGGGATCCTGAGGAAAAACGGCGTCGCTGACCAGGGGATCAATTTCGACACTGGAGCAAGGACCGCCCTCGCCTTCGTGACGTTACGTGCCGACGGAGATCGGGAGTTTATGTTCTACCGGAATCCCAGCGCCGATATGCTCCTCCGTCCCGACGAACTCAACCTCGAGCTCATCAGATCCGTACGTAGATCGCATAAATCCCTTTTCTCTCACTCTCTGATTCCGTAATTTACGATTTTGTGATTTTGGAAACCTTGTTTCCTCCAGATCCTCACGAGATCTAGAGGAAATTGTAGATTACAGTGTCCTTTTTTTTATTTTTGAATTTTTCAGAAAACATGGAAACAAAATTTGTTTAGGATTTTTCATCGTCCGTGTAGTATTGGGAATCGTGCGCTTATTGATTGCTTTAGAAACGTAGAAGATGATCTCACTGGGAAATGTGCCAAATGTTAAATTCACGGACGGTGACTTTTCTCTGATCTCACTGAGTTTTTTCGCGGGGTCTTAAATCTTCCGCTCACGAATGACCATAGATCCACGTGATGTCACGTGATTTGTCGAAGTAGCTAACTTCTTGTTTTTATTATTATCCGAAAACGGATGAAAGAGAGATACGATGTTTTTCATTTTTTTCCCGAAAGATAAAAGCTCAAACTTTTGGTCGACTAATATCAGTGATTAAGCTAACCACCACTATATGATTTGTGGAAAAAATTAGGATGTAATAATATACAGTTTATGATATTAATGTTTAGTAGTTTTGCAGTAAGATAAATTTGTATTGTTCTTGATATTAATTGAAATTCTGAAAATCTGAGTAAATGTGATCAAAAGTGAATGTGCATGTGTAAAGTCGATTTTTTATGGTGATGGTGAAATGCTAGTCAGATTGAATAGTTTTAGTTTTTGTTCAAAATTGTTCATTTTACCTTTACAGCTAATCTCAGTGGCGAGGACCTTTCGCTTTTCTTCAACAGTCTGATAATGATTGACCCCATCGTAGTTAATATTCGAAACACCAAGAATCATATCAAAATGGGTCCCTTTGATAATTATTCCTTATGATCCAATTCCAAGCTGTGATCTTTTATGAGTTTTGGGTACCAAACTGGCTTTTACTTGTTTGTAGATCGGTGTATTATTTGTGACCAATGCGATGTTAACTTTATGCAGGCGAAAGTGTTTCACTATGGATCCATAAGCTTAATAGTGGAGCCATGTAGGTCGGCTCACTTGAAGGCAATGGAAGTGGCGAAAGAAGCAGGAGCTCTTCTTTCCTACGACCCAAACCTCAGGGAACCTCTTTGGCCATCGAAGGAAGAAGCCAAAACGCAGATCATGAGCATCTGGGACAAAGCTGAGATCATCAAGGTGAGCGACGTTGAGCTGGAGTTTCTAACTGGAAGCAACAAGATCGACGACGAAACCGCAATGTCCTTGTGGCATCCCAACTTGAAGCTCTTGCTTGTCACTCTTGGTGAAAAGGGCTGTCGGTATTACGCCAAGGTAAACTCACTAACACATCTTTTATGTGCATTTACCATCATCATCATCAATTCATTATCATGATTGTCTCTTGGTTGTGTCTTGTGTGGTGTGTCCATTAGGTGATGCCAGAAGGCAAAACTAGTGTGCTATATCATATAATTTCAGGATTAGTTTTTTTATTAACATGTTTTTGGAAAGGATTCGTATTTAATATATAGTATTAATCAGAACATGGACTTCAATACTGCTGCAGCGATCATTTGATTAAATATATTGGTGGGTTTTTAGTTGGTTTGGTAGATCTCACCAACTGCTTAATTAAAAATTGATTCCTTTTTCTCGTGGACCCTTCTTCATATACATTATTATTACTAAGGGTCACAAAAGTCTTGACCTCTAAGGTTCCTTGTTTATCAAAGGTGACGAATTTTTTACTTGACAAGAAAAGGAAGTAACTTTTTGCTTTCCTCATTTGCCGAATCACATGAACATGAAAGCGATTCGTCTCCTACTTGTTAACGTTCAATGACTTTTTTGTGGCTTCCACTAAAATGGGGTTTTATGCTTATATTTATAACTGTGTAGCACTTCCGTGGATCCGTTGACCCATTCCATGTGGACGCCGTGGATACAACCGGAGCTGGAGATTCCTTTGTTGGTGCCCTTCTAAACAAGATTGCTGATGATCAGTCTATTCTCGAGGTAACATTACGAAAGAACTAATCAACGTGCATCCATTGAATGGATCCTCTATATATAATATGGAACTTCCAACGAATTAATGGGTTTATTATTTTTTGTTACAGAACGAAGAGAGATTGAGAAAAGTGCTGAGATTCGCAAACGCGTGTGGAGCAATCACCACAACCAAAAAAGGAGCCATTCCAGCTCTTCCCACAGAAACTGAAGTTAACAGCTTTCTTGAAGGGAAGAAATAAGAAAACAAAATAACTCTTTAAGCTTCTTTTTTTTTCCATTTTCGTGGCTTTCTTCTTCTCTCTTTTGTATTCTTGTTTTCGGATGAGAGAAACACAAACTGAGCCTTCCGCTCTGTGTTTTTGTTTCTCTTGTTCAAATGTAATGATTCAAAAAAGACTTATGTTTTCAATTTAAGGCATCACTTGCTAATAAAAAAGAGAAGTTTATTTTCCAAGTTTTTAGCCTTAACATTGAATTACAAATACCTATATATTAGTATCTTACTGGTTCGAATCATCTCACAGAGAAAAGCAAGACAGATGCAGTAGATTGAGCGTGTATAGATTATACATATGCGAATAAAGTGAAGCTTACTAGTTTCTTCATCCATAGTTTAAGCCTAGGTCAGGGACAAGGAAGTGTTCTTCCTCATCATCATACCGGACCTCAAGCCTCGGCTTCTTGTTGGAAACATTCGACTTCATTGGTCTATTGTAGGTATGAACATGAGCCAAATGTGAAACCGAGAGCTCTGGAACTTCAGCTGCCGGTAAAGCTTCTTGATCAGGCTGGTCCCCAAAGAAACCCATCTCTGCAAGCCAGTCCAGCTCCCCGAGATCGAGCTGCTCTTTCTGCTAAAGCACAACAAATGATATACATACAAGTCAAAATAAGTTACATCCCAAGAAACCAAGTGTTCATTGATTTGGTAACCCGGTTCTCACCTTATTACTGCACTCAAGATCAGAGTAGCGGAAGAATTCATCGCCAGCCCATGGAGGAGATGGAGCAGCAGCAGACTGTTGCGGTGGCGGTTTAGTGAGAATCTGCTTTGCGTTCTGCTGGTCAGATGGGTCGAAGTGATTCATCTCCACTTCTTTGCTGCAACTACTGGAACTCAGAGCGACTCGGATTCCAGTCGCCAAGAACCTCTGGTGATTAGCAGAGCGAGTGTTAGGCGCATGTGTCGCATCGTCGCAGTCTCTGCAGAGAAGAGCTCTATCCTCAACACAGAATATGAAAGCTGCCTTCTCCTGCAAGTCAACAAAGATGAACACACAAGAAGCGACCTTGAGCATGTGTTTCTTGATAACCCCCATTTTCCAAAACTGGATCTGAAAATCCTAACCTATGCAAACTAAAACATCCAAAAAGGTACCAAATTTCTTGAGATCCACTCAAAGCCTTTACTAAAGTTGGATCTTTTAATCTAATCTATGCTAACTAATAGATCCAAAAGTATGAACTTTCTCAATCATACACCTAAAAGGAATCTGCCAAGAATACAAAATCAGGCATGAACAGAGACAAGAAGAGATTTTTCTTACGAGGCAGATGTCGCATGGAGGGAATTTGGTGGAGAGAGAGTTGAGAAAAAGGCGTTGGTGTTTGCTAGCGAGCTTATTAGCGGCGTGAACCTCAACGTCGCACTTAGCGCAAAGAGCAGCTTCATCGGCACAACATATCAGTGTAGCCGTAGCTTTCTCACACACATCGCACTGTATCTTCATCTTTCTCACAAAATTACCAAATATACAGAACAAAACAGAGCTTTTCCTGACAAGTGAAAGAATCTGAATACCAGAGGAATCTACAAAAGAAAGCTCTGCCTTTTGTTCTCTTCCCTTGTTCAAGAACGATTGAACCTTTTTTAGAAAGACTAATGGCGACGAAACTTGAGAGCAAAACGAAAAGCGATTTTGTTTGGTGTTCAAGTTGTGGAGTGAATGATTGGTAGAAGATGAGAAGATAAGAAGTTTTTTTCCATGATTCTGCGTATCGAAAGGAACCACATGCTTGCTTCTTACAGCAAGGCCTTGTAGTTTTAGGGTCCCACTCTTCTTCTTCTTCTGCGGCTCTCGTTGTTTCTCTTCTTCTCTGTCTCTCTCTCACTTGTATTTCGATATTACTTGTGATTCTTTTTTGGGGTACCTGACTCGGATATTAGAGTTATTATTTGATATTATCAATTCATCATTATGTACTATTCAAATTTGAAAATGTTTCTTTATAGTTTATATATATATTCAAAGTAAGACAATTAATGTCTTCCTCTGTATTCTTCAGTTTTTGAGTGTCGCCTCAAAATCTTGTGGACAACGTTTCACAACAAATAGTCGGCTGAAATTTTAGCGGTCCGTATTGAACGTTGCATATTTGGAGAAAAAGACTAATATGTTCTTTAAGAAAAATCCAATCTCGATGTTTGGTGTTGACTAATCTTGTGGCTTTCCTTCATTCTTCTTGTGAAATAATTTTGATATTAAAAAAAAAAACAAAAAACGATCCTGAACAAAACTATCTTCGTACTTTTTGTTAAAATCTATACGCTTACTTTAGTTTACGTGCTATACAATTGTAGATCTCTTTGTAAGCCTATTAAATGATTAACATTTCACCTCAAAGAATTTTTAAAAAAAATAAGATAAATATTAAGCCTACGCAGCAATTTGTCAATTAATATAAAATTTCGATGTATAACATATAGTCTAAATGTTACATTACAAAAGCCTCTGAGAAAACAAATGAACATCAAGCATGGTGTTGTGGTAATAATGGTTACAATTTATGATTTATAACAAATTCACAGTTTGAATGTGATAAATAAAAAAAAAGAACCTTTTTACGTACTTGGACACGAGACCCAGTCTAAATCCCAATAACCAAATCCAAACAGCTCATAAAGTTTCTTTGGGGCTATCCAAAAGGCTTGTGCTTCGCATACAACGCCAATACCCTGTAGGCCAAGGCACCCGTTAGCGAAACCCTAAAAAAAGAACATTTCGAAATGTACAAGACTGCAATTGAAGGATTTACCTCTCACTAAAGTGGACGTATTCGTATTCATATTCATCAGTTTTCATTCTGGCCTTGAGATGGCTTTTGTTTTCTCATATCCGCAATTCCATTTTGTTGTTCCTGCTGTTGAAGGCGATGCTGTAGAAGCTGTTGCAGCTGCTGTTGTTGTTGTTGAAACTGAAACTGCTGTTGTTGTTGTTGTTGTTGCTGCTGCTGCTGTTTCTGTGAATGAATCTGAAGCTGCTGGAACTGTTGTGCGGCTAAGATTGTTTGCCTCGACTGATTGTTGGAATAGAATTGCTGGTTTGATCCAAACGACCCATAGTTCATCGCTGATGCACCGTTTGGAGCAGCTTGCCCAGTCAACACCTTCAGATGCTGGATTTCCTCCTTAAGCGCTTCGTTTAGTTCTGCCAAAATACAAAGTGTTTACATCAAATGGTAATGGAAATCTTTGTAAGTGGGGAAAAAGCAAAGTGTTTGTGATAAAAAAGAGCCTCACCATCCTGCAAGTGAACTTGCTGCTCCATTGTTTGTAACCGCAGTTTCAGCTCATTGTTCTCAACAGTCAAGCCATTTGTGTCTCTCTGAACAAAAAAAAGACGAAATGAGTAACAGAGCATTGTAACGGTAGAGTAAATTTCATATAGCAATGAAGACAGAGCAACCATACAATTGACTCAAAACCAACCTGTAAGAGAGTCAATTGTGCTGAGAGAGTTGTAGCTTCTGTTTGCAAAGTCTGTACTTTTCTCTCAAGCTCAAATATGTACCTCGTCTTCCTTTCTTTCGACCTTGCCGCGGATTGCCTGTTTGCCCATATCCTGGTCATGCGACACAAAAACAGATCATACACTTTGCTCTACTCATAAGAAAAGTTGAGATTTTGATTGTACAAACGCAAATGTACGCATGAAGAGAGACAATCAAGCAGCTGCAGATACTACTATATGACTGCACATAAACACTAATTACCTCTTAGCACGTTTTGGATCGATGAGAGCAAGCTCAGCAAGTTTAGTAGCAGACATGGACTTCTTAGCATCAACAGCAGAATCATCTTCATTTCCGGACATAAGCATCTCGTTGATGTTCATCGAACCGTCCATAGACAGACTGTGTTGGTGCCTGACTCTTGGTCTTTCCCCAAAGCTATTAAGCATATTCTGAGGGTTAGAAGCTGAGCCCGTACGCATCACCGACTCGTTTTTCCAAGACGGCTCACCACCAACTTGAGCAGAAGAAGTAGCAGAGGAATTAAACTTATCCATATCGAGATACATAGAGAGCAAGTCCTCTTCAGTGTCATCAGAGAAAGAAGCTCCATCAGCATTAGTACCAACCACACCAAGATCACTATCAAAACTCAAATCATCAGGGAGAGTGAGGATCTCGGAATGAGCTCGACGGTGACCAATCTTCCTCGGTGGGTTATCGAGCATACGGCTCATATCGTGGCTCAACCGGTTAGCATCCGATCCATGACCGATGGGACCGGAGTCTGAGAATGCTGAGGACCGACCAGAGGGTGATGGAGGTGGGAGACCACCACCACCAGGAGGTGCCTGAGATTTCTCTTTATCCATTTTCTACAATTCACTCTCTATCCTGCAAAACGATCATTAAGCAAATCAGATCAAATACGAAAACTGGGCGGTTGATTCAGATATTCAAGCTATCAATTTACAGTGACGCAACCCTAAATCCTGGCCCTGAATCAAAAGAGGAGAAAACCCTAGTTGAAAGTAGATCAAAAGAGACGACTTTGTAAAGACCACTTACGAAATAGATCTAATAAGCTGTAGCAGCCGAAGAAAAATGAGAGAAAGAGAAATTGTAGGCTTTTCCGGGGAAAAAGTTTAGGGCTTTTCAGTCAAAGTTTAGAAGAAAAATTAAGTGGTGGAGGGGAAAATGAGAGGAAGGGAAGAGATCTATGAGATGAGAAGGTGCGAATGCGATTCCTTACAAGAGAAAGAGATCATGTGTAGAAGATGCCCACAATCTCTGCGTAATTGGTAATAACACTCTTCAAAACGCGTCGTTTTTGCGTGTTCCGCCATTTCCGTCAGTGAGTTAACCAAAAACGTTGGACTAATAATTAAAGCAATGTAAACTTATCACTACCAGGCCTGGGCCTTCTTCTTTAAACACCTCATGGGCTTAAAGCCCATTAAGCCCAAGATTTGGAGCTGCATACATACTCTTGTTTCGGCTGGAACTTGGAATGTGGATGTGAGGGTTTGCATTGAATTGAAACACTTTGTAAGATGAAATAAATTAGAATTTGTATTGGAACTTGGAAGCCCATAAAACTTTACAAATCAAGATTTGATGTTGGAAAAGCAAGATAAATAATTTTAAATGTTTGACCATTACTATTAAATAAATAAATAAACAAACAGTTTTTCATTACCTGAAAATCAAATAATCAACACTGAAGACGATATATATTCATACATTATCATCCGTTGAGAAAAAAACAAAAGAGATATTTTTGAACAACGATATACTAATAAAAATTGAACTCATATAAAAAAGAACATCTGGTACCACATGTATGCCTTCGAAGCATTGTCCTTGTCCAAGTTGGAAAGGAATGTTACGGGTCTTCGATTCCACATTTAATAATCAGAATTAGTGCTTTATTAGAGTGGTTCGAAATCGGATATTAAGTTTAATGTATCTAGAAAACCGATATTCTTGGTCAATTTCAAACTCATAAATCATGTTTATTATTCCTCCCATATCCTTTTCGTAATTAATTTCATCAACGATAGCATTAATGTAACTTTGGGTTCAAATGTCGTCCATATGAGTTTACACGTTTTCTCGTACTTTAATTAATACAGGTGGTTTATTTGTATTATCGTGTGAACTGGATTAACATGATTCTGTCAAGTTTGCCTTTTTTTTTTTTTTTTATTATCAGGGGTTCTGGACCGACGGTAATCCCCTCAAACCTAAAACCACAGTATGTAATATTGGTTTTGTTATAAACGTTACTCAATCATGTGACCTCTAAACTTTGTCTAGGATTCTTTTACCAGTCGAACTAGTATCACTTGATAAGTTTGCCTTTTTACAAGCTAACGAGCTACGTAATCTCGTTTTCAGTTCTCAAAAACAAAAGAAAAAGGATTCTACATCACTAGCTCTTCTTATCAAACATTTTTACAGTATAACTATAGATTTCCCTTCTTATTAACTTCGCAATAATGGATAATTTGTTTTCGCTATTTTGTTTTAGATTTGTGTTTCTCATGAAGAACCATTTTCGACAATTTGAAAATGTTACACAATTACGATTTTACTTCCTAACTGTTGGAATTGTATTTGAAGATGAGATTCGCTTGAAGATTTAACAAGACTAGGTATTTACTCGCGCTACGCTGCAGAATATTTTTTTTATAGATTTGTATATATTTTTAATATAATAAAATTATTTCTATAATGTAAATGAGTATTATATTTATTTTTTATTAGCTTAAGTTCTATATTTATATGTTTTAAATCTGAATAAACATTATATATCATTAATTTTTTAAAATTTTAATCTAATATCAAATTTGTTTAGTTAACTATCTATAGATGTATATGTAAGAATAAAACAATACATTTTTAAGTATCTTCATGCTAATGGTAAATGTAATTTATTTTCTCTACTAAATTGCTAAATGATCCTCTTTTAAAAATATATAAAGCAAATTGCCATTTGAAAAAATATTTTGTTTAAATTGTTGAAATATCAATTTAGTTGAAGTTAAATAATTCAATTTTGGTTATTATAAACATATTGTAACTTTGAAAATTAGCACAAGGAAATTTTATCATTTTACAAAAATTGAGAAATTGCATTTTCCGACAAAACAAAAAAAAATATTTTCCCACAAAACTGAGAAATCGCTTATTCCCGCCAAAACCAAAAAAAAATCATTTTCTCGTCAAACCTGAAATTTTATTTTCCTACCAAAACAAAAACAAAAAAATCACATTTTCCCGCTATAACCTATGTTTTCCTGTCAAAACAGAGAAAAATCAAGTTTTTTCACTAAAACCAAAAAAATTCATGTTCCTGCAAAAACAAAAAAATTATATTTTCCCGTCAAAAACAAAAAAAAATATTTTTCCGCAAAAATCGTCTATTCCCACCAAAACAAGAAAAAATTATTTTTCTCGTCAAATCAAGAATCACGTCTTCATACCAAAACCGATAAACTACAATTTTCTGCAAAAACTAAAAATTGTATTATCTCATGAGAAATAGCATTTCCCGCAAAAACTAAGAAATTATATTTTCCCTCGAAAACCAAAAAATCAAATTATATGTTAAAAACTGAAAATTTGCATTTCCCATCAAAACCAAGAAATTGTTTATTCCCGCCAAAATCGAGAAATTTTGCTTTTCTATCAACCCGAAAAATTGCATTTTCTGCCAAAATTGTCAAATTACAATTTTCCGCAAAAATCAAGAAATTTCATTATCCATCAAAAGCCGAAAAATTGCATTTTCTATCAAAACCGAGAAATCGTATTTTTCGTCAAAATTGAAAAGTTGCATTTCCCTCGCGTTTTCTAGTCAAAATCAAATTTTTTATTTCTCATCAAAACCAAAAATTCACATTTTTCTGTCAAACTCGAGAATTCGCTTTTTTCCGCCATAACCGATAAACTATGTTTTCCTACCAAAACTGAAAATCACATTTTTCTACCAAAACCAAGAAATTCTTTATTTCCGCCAAACCCAAGAAAATTTGTTCTCGGTAACCAGTGGAAATGCAAATCTCCAAACTGTGGTGGTCTGAGTTTCTCCTAATTTGCTTTTGCCTTCCATTTTTTTTTGTAAACTTTGGGCTTTTTAATGGGTCAGCAAAATAGTAAATTAATTTTATTAGTGTGTTAATAATATGTATTATTGTTATGTTTTTATTAGTTCAAATTTTTGCTGATGTGTGAGCTTCTTATAACAAAACACTTTTTGCATTGTTGTTATGGAACCATAGTTGATGATGAGTCCACACTTTCTTCAATCATATACATATCTATCAAGCAAACACATAGGTAGAAATTTTAATTTTTTTTTCTGTTATTTATTATTTGAGTTTCGATTTGGTAAAAATATAAAACAAATATTTAATTTTATTATTTGTTGTTATTTATTATTTGGGTTTGGCAACAAAATAAAATATTTTTTTATTTGCTGTTATTTATTATTTGGGCTTGGGTTTGACCAAAAAATAAAACTAAAATTAACAATAAAACATATTTGGGTTTTTAATGGATTTAAATTTAAAAGTTAAAATATATTGATGACTTGTATTATTGAAATGTTTTTATTGGTGTTTTTTTTTTGCTGAAGTGTCATCTTTTAAAAGCTTGAAAATGCTGATGTGTCAAGCAATGGAGAGACTTATGGATTATTGTTGTGTTGATTAACGAATTAAAACTGCCTATCGATTACTTATTAACCTTTAAAAATTGATTAACACAGATATACATTATGATCAAAGGCACCATACGTTATGCAACTTTTTGTTATATGTGATCGCCATTATTAATACGTGATATAAACGTTACCTATAACATGTATTTCTTGAATAAAACTTGTGAACTAATCTTACAAGAGTGAGATGGATTTCTTTTCTTGTAAGGATAATATATGATTTTGACAACAACAAAAGAAAACGTAAATAGATTACAGAGGTAGATCCATTTTTGTTAAAGGTAGATCTTAAAAGAAGGAGTAGTGAGTAAAGCTCTCGTCGGACCGGTGGTTGTATTTAGAAAGTAGAAACTTTGAATTAATTAGTATGTCCTTCGACGACTGATGATGCATGTAAAGTAACTATATCCGTAGGACGTAACTGCTTTTTGTACACCATTTCATCAAGTCTTGAGGATTTTTTTTTTTTGTACTTTAATTACTGAGATTAAGTAAGAAGTCCCAATCTAATTAATTAAGATTATGTAATGACGGTGAAGGGGAGGAAAATGTTAATTAGAGAAAGTATATTGACCAGTGGTCTCAGACTCTCAGTGACTTCTGACGACCTACTAGGCTACTTCTTAAATCGTGACTGATGAGGGAGTACCATTCGCATCATTTACAATTTTATATCTTTGCACACATGTTAAGCTCATTTTTGTTTTAGAAAAGTGTTATACAAGCATTACAAGTTCTGATTTATAAATTACATTAGAAGTACTATGATGATGATCACAAATATGATTTATAACTCAGAAAGTATGTATCTAGATAAAACCAAAACTACACGTACGTAACAACAATGTGAATTCGTTTCAGTGTTGGTTGGACTTAGAATTATCAAACGACCAAACACAAACCTATTTGTTTTCTGTCATTAAAACAACAAAACTAGTCGGAAATATTTACCAGTCTGTCTCAGAAAAAAATACGAAAATATTATGTCTCAAAAAAATTACGAAAGTGAATCTATGATATTTTCGCAACCAAAATCCTAGTATCTAATTTGTTATATATGGTTTACAGATCAGATCTCCTTAGTAATTTGTCTTTTTGAAAGTAACATCTTCTAGATCATGTATTAAAGCAATACTACGAAGGAAT